CGGTGGTACATATATACAATGGAATATTACTCAGCCATAAGAAGAGATGAAATACTGCCATTTGTGACAACATGGATGGACTTCGAGATAATCCTGCTAAGCGAAATAAGCCAGACAGAAAAAGTTGAAAATCACATGATATCACTTATATGTGGGATATAAACCTAAAAGCAACAAATGAGCAGGACAAACAGAGACTTATGGACATGGACTACAGGCTAGTGGTTACCAGAGGACTATAGACTAGTGGTTACTAGTGGGGTAGGGGAAGAAGGGGGAGGTAGATGGGGTAAAGGGGGTCAAATATAGGGTTTAGGGGGAGGGTGAAGTGGGTAAAGGGATCAAATATATGGTAGCTGAAGGAAACTGGACTTTGGGTGGTAAACACACAATAGAATATACAGATGTCAAATGATAATGTACACCTGAAAAATATGTAATTGTATTAACCAATGTTACCCCAATAAACGTAAAAATTAAAAAATATATTAAAAATATATTGTATACATATATCAAATCAATATGTTGAACACCTAAAAGTAATACAATTATGTCAATTATATCTCAATTTTTTAAAAAAGAACTCAATAGATACATTTAACAGCATATTAAGACAGCTAAAGAAAGGACTGGTGAATCAGATCAAAATAAAATATCAAGATTGAATAATGAGGAGAAAAAGGAGAGAAATACAGGAAATAATATAAATTATATATAGGATATGGTGAAAAAGACTAACATACATATAATTAGAGACCTATAATTATACGTGAGAAAAAAACAAAGCAGAAAAAAAAATATGAAGAAATAATGGCTGGGAATTTTCTAAAACTCATGAGAAAATCAAGCCAGATTCAAAAAGCACTATGAACCCCAAGCAGGGGATATATATATCACCTTTAAAGGAGTTTTAACCCATTTCCCATTTAGAAAAAAAAAGTACAGCTCACTGCCAGTGTTAACATCATGTGTAGGAATGCTACGTTTTTCTAGGATTTGACATTTTCAGCAATGGAGAATTACTATATTTTGTAAATGGAAATACCACTACTAAAAACAGAATGCTATAAATAGAATTTCATTTGTTTCCAAAGACTATCGATATGCTAGAGTGATGCGAAAATAATAATAAAAGTGGGATATTTTGTAGCAATCTTTGGGGCTAAGATTAGGACTGTAATCCACGAGTTATCTCAGGGTAAATGCTCGCCGGTGAGTATTCTTGAGGCAAGCGGAAAATGGGTTAATAGGATTTATAACTGACTTCTCAACAGAAACAATGAACAGCAAAAGAAATGAAATACGACCTTCAAAATGCTGAAAGAAAAACTGCCAACATAGAATTCTATGACCAGTGAAATTATTTTTCAAATTTGTTCTTTAAATTAAATGTAATCTTGGCAAAAGCCCTGAAGTTTTTGTTTTTGTTTTTTTTTAAGAAAAGGCAACCAACCCTTGGTTGACCTCACAGATTGCAAGGACCTTGTCAGTTTACAATCCCTTATTTTTTTATTTTTTACGCCTACAGCACCTGGTCTTCCTAGGTGGTCTCCCATCCAAGTACTAACCAAGCCCGACTGCTTAGCTTCCGAGATCAAACGAGATCAGGCTTGTTCAGGGTAGCATGGCCATAGACAAGCCCTGAAGATTTTGTTGTGCAAACTGACAAACTGATTCTAAAACTTATGAAAATGCAAAGGAGCAAGACTAGCCAAAAGAAACTCAAAGATAAACACAGTTGGAGGATTTACTATACCAGATATCAAGACTTATTCTAAAGCTCCAACAATTGAGACGTGTAGTTTCTTGCAAAGAAAGACAAACGGGTCAAAAAACAGAAGAGTTTAGAAACAGACCCACAAATATATGGATACTTGATTTATGACAAAGGTTTCCACAGCAGGGCAGTGGAAAATGAATAATCTTTTTAATAACTGATGTTGGGTCAACCAGGGTCAAATGGATTGTAAACCTAAGTGAGAAAGGTAAAACAAAAATGTTTCTAGAAGATAAGAGAATATTTTCATTACCTTAGGGTAGGAAAAGGTACTTTAAATTAAGACCCAAAAGCGCTAACCATAGTGATAAACTGGATTACATTAAAAATAAGAACTTCTGTTTTACCATTAAGAGGATAAAAAGGTAAGTCACAGAGTGGAAGAAGATATTTAAAATACATATATGTTCAATAAAGGACTTATATCCAGAATACATCAACAACTCTTACACAATAAGATAGTCAACTTGGTAGAAAAAAATAGGCAAAGTACAAATGTCCACTTCAAAAAGAATTGCCAATAAACACATAAAAAGGTGTCCAAATTCATTAGTCATTGTGAAATAAAAATTACAACTGCAATGCAAATTACACCATTATCCACCAAAATGGCTAAAATGAACAAAGTACAATATATGTTGATGAGGCTATAGGACAACTAGAATTCTCATACACTGTACATAGGTATGTAAACTGGCACAATCACTTGGAAAACTGTTTGACAGGACTGACTAAAGTGGAACATACACATATTCTATGACCCAACAATTCAACAGACATGGGTACATAAGTGCACCAAAAAAGAAAATTTACAAGAATCTTCACAGCAGTGTTTTTTCTAATAGTCCCAAACTGGAAACAACTCAATTGTCTATTATGAATAGAATAGACAAATAAATTATTATATATACACATTATGGGATATAATACAACAACAATGAACAAACCACTGCTACAGGCAACAACATGGATGAATTTCACAAACATAATGTTGAGAGAAAAAAGTCAGACAAGAGTACATACTACTATATAATTACATTTATATAAAGTTCAAAACATACATGGTTTTAGAAGTCAATAGTGATTACCTCTGGGAGGGTAGAAAGGGGCCTGAGATTTTCTGGAATGATGGTTAATGTATTTCTTAGTAATAATGGTAGGGTAGTAATAATGTAAGTATATTTCATATAAGACAATTCTTAAGCAATACACTTGATTTGATCACTTATGTTATGCTTCAATAGAAAAGTTATTAGAAAATTATGACAGGTTACAAAAATAACCACAAAACTTAAAAAGGAAACAAGCCTCCTTGAGCAAGAGTTAGCAGAAACTATAACCAGTAGAATTAAATCCTCAGTTTTGATATTGAAATTATTTAATGTAGAACTAAAATATAAACCTTCCTAAATAACAACAGAAATTAAAAGAAAACCAAAAGAGCAAAGAAAAGAGGTCACATAGTAAAAGAAACACAGTAAATAAACATAGTAAAATAATTTGACAGAGATGAGACTAAATTTATCAGTGGCATCAACTGTTTTAAAAGAATAAAATTTACAGATTCTCTTACAAAGCAAAACCCAACTCTATGCAGTATGTAAGAGACACATCTAAAGGGAAGTGATTCAAAGGGATGGGCAAAGGTATAACTGCAATGCATATAAAAAGAAAACTGTGAGCATGGAGGGGGATAGGTATCTAGCCATGAACTTGCTGAGCTCTGGGTTCCCGAACTCATTCTAACTCATGGCCAGGTAGAGTTGGGAGAGGGATGTACCTACAAAGAATGTGTGGAGCTCTGAGATGGTATTCATTTATGCATAACGTGCTTAACACATACCTAATGCATAGTATACTGCACACAACTATTTTTTCAACAAATAAATTAACGAACTGCTTTCAAATGTCTAAAGCACTTTCAAGTAAAATAAGAGGCAGCTCACTCTATAATCTTCCATAAAGCATAGCTGGGATCAATGAACAGAAACAATAATAAAAATAATAATGATTGTGATAATAACAATATTATTAAGTAGTTTCTACATGCCAGCAACTGTGCTAAATGCATTCTTATTTAATCATCACCTATGAGATAGGCACTTATTATTGTCATTTAACAGATGAAGAAGCTGAAGTTTAACTGAAAGGTTAACTTGCCCAGACTTCTCCTGGTAACTTGCTGGTAAAGTGATGGAGTCAGAACTCCAAACAAAGCAGTAACCTCTGTCAAAATCTTAAATGCATATAACTATTATCTAGCAATTATATCTCAAAAACATAAAACTAAAAAGAAAAGGAATATAAAAAACATCATTCCTATTTTTTAAAAAATACACAGAAATTTGTATATACACAAAGAATATATTTTCAAGGATACAGAAGAAAATATAAACAATGGTCATCTGCAGGGAAAGAAAGTAGATGGCTGTGAGACAGGAGTAAGAGGGCAACGACTTTTCACTGGATACCCTTTTGTGCCTTCTTAATTTTGCACCATGTACTGTATTAATATTGAAAAATAAAATGATGTCATTCATACTTATTTTAATGAGTAAAACAGCCAAGTGAGTTGAAAAATAAAATAAGCCTAAAAATCTTTATCCACTGAATCAGGTTCAAACTCTCACTTGTGAACAGCCAAGTGAGTTGAAAAATAAAATAAGCCTAACAAACTTTATTTCCACTGACTCAGGTTCAAACTCTTTTTGCTGCTCTCTCTATTGAAGATGGCAGCCAGCCATCTAAGCTGAACTGACAATTCTGCAAATGACTATTTTCTCCAAATCACTCACGGATTGCTGGCTAGGTCCAGAAACAGCCCTACATGCTTAAACATGTAGGGCCAGATCCTACTGCTTTAGGGCCTGGAGTCAGGATGAAGAGGCCAGATTTGCCTGGCTGGATGTCCCAGGTCAAGAATCACTCACCCGGTCATAGGTGTCCCCCTCCAGTTCTCCCCACTTCCTGCCATCCCATGAGGTGACTCGAACTTGACTCCTATCCCTAATATCTTGAGGTACATAGCTGTGAAGGATCTTCTGTAGTCTGCCTGTTCGAGAGGTGGAAAGATCATTGGCAGCAAGATTGCCTGTGGAAATATAAATTTTAGGATTTTTTTTCTACTACTGTAAAAAGTGCCATTGAAATCTTGATAGAGATTGCACTGGATCTATAGATGGCTTTGGGTGGTACAGACATTTTATGCTTGTAGGAATAAAGAAACTTCAGTGGCCATGGCCCAATGAAACATCTCACCAACAATAGTGCTAATGGAGAGTCAGACCAATTCTCAGGCATAGCCAATAAATGCAGACTCCAGGAGCAGGGGCAAGTGGAGGACAAATGTTTACCATGTGCATTGCACCATACTAGACACAATGGAGCAGGGGCTACAAAGACCAGAAAGGTTATGTAAATAAAGCAGACCAGATAAGAATATTTACTTCTAAAGAAATATGCCCTCTCCCACTGTTCTTGAAACGTGTGTCTCTCTTCATCTTTGGTAGACACTACACATTTTTTATCCAAAACTTATCCTCCTCTTATTTCTTAGTAATAGAACACCAATTTTATTTGAGGGAGTGGAGAGCAATGTGCCAGCCTCATTTTACAAGTAAATATGACTGTATGACTTAGTTTTGGTTAATGGTTGTAACAAAAATTACTGTGTGAGACTTCTGGGAAGATGTTTAAAAGAAGCCAGCACAATTAGGAGATGTGCCTCTCATCTTATCTTTTCTTCCTGCCTCGAATTTGAATGTGATGGCTGGAGTTCCAGCAGCCATCTTGGACCAGGAATTCTGAGAATGGAAGCAATAAAATAAGTTACAAAAAGAAAGAAGACGCCCAAGTCCCAGACGACTGTGGAGACTCCATACCAGCCCTGGACTGCTTATATCACAGTTTCTCTCATGTAAGAAAAAAATAAACTTTTCTTCTTTAATCCAATTAGATGGGTTTTCTATTATATATGACCAAACATAATTCTAATTGATTCATCATCTATCTTTCACTTTCCCTTTGTGACAGACACAAGTTCAAGAAATGTCTCACTTTGCTCTTAGTTCTATAAGAAGAAAAAAATTTTACTGCAAGCTTGAAGAATAGCGTCTGATACTGCAAGCTTGAAGAATAGCGTCTGATACCTGGCCTCAGAGTCAAGGAGTGAAATGGAGATGGGAAGTGTGGTAAAGAACTAGAGTGCACATCCCTTATCTAATAGAAATGGTCACTATATGAACCAGGTTAGTGTTCCCACAAATAAATATAGTCCCAATTTTTGAGGACACTCAAAGAAGTAACAATTGGAATCTCTGCTCAAGAGGAATTTCCAGTTGGATTTGAATGGAGAACAGAAAAACTGGGTTCAGTCTGGCTCTACCTCCAACTTACGTAAAAGATTTTAAGTTATTTAATCTCTCTAGGGCTCAATATCCCCCTCCATAAAGTATGAGGGCTGGACTAGGTAAAATCTAAGTTCCCTTCTTGCACTGAAATTCTCATCTCCCTGGGATCAAGAAGTCAGTGGGATAAGGTGAGGTGCTGGCAATTCAGCACACCTTAGAAGAGCAACTCTCAAGTAGTTCTCCTTGGCCCTTCTCACTCCTCTTAGTTCAAATTCCTCCTCTACCAAGAAACACTACTACTTTCATCCCTCTTCTGATGGATTCCCACAGCACTCAGTAAAATCAGCACAGCTCAGCACACAGGCTGGGCTCTCTTGCATTAGACTCATTAAGTCACATCAACATCTTTTCTCCCTCCCTCCAGACTTCAAAAGTCTGAGATCAAATGTGGCACCTCTCTAGTATCACCCATGGGGCCTATCATGAGGCTGGAAGCTAACTCAAACTATGCAAGTTGGCTGATGAGAACTGTGCAAGAAGGGTCTAAGCCCAACAAAAAGGCTAGGGCACATGGCAAGAGGAGCATGGCTGAACTCCAGGTAAGTGTGAAAACCACAGTCCCCTTGTGGGTATCTATCAGGTCCTTAAGGAGAAAATAACACCTATTTTAAGGCAGGAAGTAGGCCAGTGGATGGCTGAAGGGCACATTTACAATACAGAAGGCCCAGGCTGGGTTACACAACTGAAATGAGTAAGACTTGGGCCTGTCCCCAAGGAATTCATAAGCTTGAAGAGAAGATGCGTACCCAGTAAAGCTCCAACACAAGGCTAATAATGTGCTAACAGTCGAAAGGGTGATGCCCACAATTAGGTGCATAGGAGACAGAGGCATCATTTCTCAACTGGCCAGCAGAAATCATGAGGGAAGATTTCCAAGTGGTATACTTGAGGTGAGGCTTAAAAGCTAAAAGGCCAACTAGGAGTGTGTAGAGGTATTCTAGAGCGAAAACATAATATAAGCAAAGGAGGAGGCTAATTGGGGCAATAGAGAGTCATAGGATATCACTGAAGCAAACAAAGCCTAGGGAAAAAGAACATGTAAAGCTACAAAGGGTTGCTGCAGCCAGATCTTACTGCTTTAGCTGGCAGGCTAAGGAAAAGGAGCTTAATCTTAGAGAGATGCAGAAGGCTGAAAGTGTCATGTGGTAGATTCATTGGGGCCCTACTTTCATCTGCCTTCAGAGACTTTGCTCTGCTCAGCAACCTTCCTTGGCCAACTAACAAAGAAATAGAAGAAATAACCACAAACAGAAAAAAATACCCCAGCTTAGCAAGCAAACACTATCCATCCCTCCTCGGACCCTGAGACCAAAGAGCCCATCATACTCAGTGTGTACCTGACTAAGTGAGGTAGGAGCCCTCCCTGCCCAAGACACCAACCCTCTTACTTACGGCAACAGCCAGTCTGAAGCAATGCTAGTGTCTTTCCCCCAGGGGCTGCACATAGGTCAAGGACAGTGTCACCAGGCTGCAGGCCAAGGGCCAGGACAGGTAGCAAGGAGGCAGCATCCATTAAGTAGTAGTCCATGACACCCAGGCTGCCAAGCCTAGAAGAGAGAAGAGAACTTTATCATCAAATTACAAGTCAGAAGACCTACTGGGTGTCAAAGCCACCAAGCACATGCGTTTAGGGGTTACTGAGCTCTACTTAGCAAAAATTTATTTCTCAGATCCACACTCATTTATTTACTCACTCACTCATTCACTCACACTCATTCATGTACACAGCAGGCAGAGTGATCCTTTTAAAACAGATCAATTCACTCTAATCCAGCCCCATTAGCCATTTTGCTATTCCTTAATCAAGCCATGCATGCTTCTCTCATGCTACACCTTTTGCCTACAACACTCTTCCCCCAAATATCTCTCAATTGCTTCCTTATTTCTTTCAGATCTTTCCTCACAAGTTACCTCATCAGAGAGGCACTGTCATTCCCTGACTACTCTATCTAGAAATAGAAGCCCCCTACTCTCATCACCTTCTATCTTGAATTATTTTTATTTAAAGCACTTGTTCTTCACTTTAAATGTATAGATGTGTGTGTTTGTGTGTGTATTTTTCCAGCTCTATTTCTCTCTGTTAGAATGAGGGCAGGGATTTTGTCTGCCTTGTTCATCGTAATAACCCCAAAATCTGAAACAGTGCCTGGTATCTAGGAGGAACTGAGTATTACAGAGTTACGTATGAGATAAAAAATGCTTTGTGAGTTCAGAGAAGAGTGCCATCAGTTGTGCCTATCAGAGTTACCTGAGTTAGGCCTGATGATGGATGGAATAGGCCATCAGGTAAAAAATAATTAAAAAAATAAAGAAAAAAGGAAGAGAAGCATACCAAGCAGAAGAAAAAAGAACAAGGAACAGAAGCATGCAAACTCATAGCTTCTTTCAGAAACAGGGATAAATCTAGTGTGGTAGAAATACAAGCTGCATGAGATTGAAGTTGGAAAGCAAACAAGGCCAGATTGCAAAAGGTCTTAAACCCTATGCTAAGGATTTTGGACTATAACCTGTAGGCAGTTACCAAAACTTTTTAAGGAAAATGACGTGATCAGCTAGACAGAGTTTTAGAAAGCTAGATGGGCTAGAACAAACAAATGAGAAATAGAGACACCAGTGAGAAGGCTATTACAAGAGTCCAAGTAAGAGCTAAGTAGGCATGAAAAGAGGCAGCAATGGTATGGGGAGAGAGAGATGGATGACAGACAACAATCTGATGGTCACAGAAGGACTCCTCACTCTCAGGCCAGTTGTCGCAAGAGCAACTGGTAATACAACCATTCCCCTGAGACACAGCTCTGCTATTTGGGACAGACTCAAGGAAACAAAAACTCAGTCCTTGTTGCTCTGACAGGAAAGTTCTGAGAGGAAGATGTGACAGGACATAAGATATAGCACCACTGAGGATCAGCTACAAGAGCTACAATCCCCAGTAGTGTAGTGAGGCTGTGACAGTTCCTGCATTCACAAATGGGCTCAGGTTATGACAGGATATTTTCAAAGTTAGATCATGAAACCATGTGCTTTATGCCTCACAAAGAAAAATGACAAGAAACTGAGAAATCTGAGAAAACCACAGAACTGCTATCACACCAGCACTGGCTCTCAAAACCCATTCTCCTCAAGTTCCTTCCTTTTGGAAACATCACTCTTTAACCTTTTTTTTCATTCACAGAAAGTTCTGAGAATCTGTTGAAAGCTACCGTCACTCT